ACACAGGATACTGTTGTAGTGAAACAGTCTGTACACACAGGATACTGATGTAGTGAAACAGTCTGTACACACAGGATACTGATGTAGTGAAACAGTCTGTACACACAGGATACTGATGTAGTGAAACAGTCTGTACACACAGGATACTGATGTAGTGAAACAGTCCGTACACATAGGGATACTGGTGTAGTGAAACAGTCTGTACACACAGGATACTGGTGTAGTAAAACAGTCTGTACACATAGGATACTGATTTGGTGAAACAGTCCGTACACACAGGATACTGATGTAGTGAAACAGTCTGTACACACAGGATACTGATGTAGTGAAACAGTCTGTACACACAGGATACTGATGTAGTGAAACAGTCTGTACACACAGGATACTGATGTAGTGAAACAGTCTGTACACACAGGATACTGATGTAGTGAAACAGTCCATACACATAGGGATACTGGTGTAGTGAAACAGTCTGTACACATAAGGATACTGGTGTATTGAAACAGTCTGTACACATAGGGATACTGGTGTAGTGAAACATTCTGACACATATGGATACTGATGTAGTGAAACCTTCTGTCACATAGGGATACTGATGTAGTGAAACATTCTGTACACATAGGGAAACTGATGTAGTGAAACATTCTGTACACATATGGATACTGGTGTAGTGAAACATTCTGTACACATAGGGAAACTGATGTAGTGACACCATCTGTACACATAGGGATACTGATGTAGAGAAACATTCTGTCACATAGGGATACTGATGTAGTGAAACAGTCTGTACACATAGGGATACTGATGTAGTGAAACAGTCTGTACACATAGGGATACTGATGTACTGAAACAGTCTGTACACATAGGGAAACTGATGTAGTGACACAGTCTGTACACATAAGGATACTGATGTAAAGAAACATTCTGTCACATAGGGATACTGATGTAGTGAAACAGTCTGTACACATAAGGATACTGATGTAGTGAAACAGTCTGTACACATAGGGATACTAGTGTAGTAAAACATTATGTACACATAGGGATACTGAGGTAGTGAAACAGTCTGTACACATAAGGATAGAGATGTAGTGAAACAGTCTGTACACATAGGAATACTGGTGGAGTTAAACATTATGTACACATAGGGATACTGGTGTAGTGAAACATTATGTACACATAGGGATACTGATGTAGTGAAACAGTCTGTACACATAGGGATACTGATGTAGTGAAATATTATGTGCACTTAGGGATACTGGTGTAGTGAAACAGTCTGTACACATAGGGATACTGGTGTAGTGAAACAGTCTGTACACATAAGGATACTGGTGTGGTGAAACAGTCGGTCACATAAGGATACTGTGTGTAGTGAAACATTCTGTCACATAGGGATACTGATGTAGTGAAACATTCTGTCACATATGGACACTGTGTGTATTGAAACATTCTGTCACATAAGGATACTGTGTGTAGTGAAACATTCTGTCACATAAGGATACTGTGTGTAGTGAAACATTCTGTCACATAAGGATACTGGTGTAGTGAAACAGTCTGTACACATAAGGATACTGATGTAGTGAAACAGTCTGTACACATAGGGATACTGGTGTAGTGAAACAGTCTGTACACATAAGGATACTGGTGTAGTGAAACAGTCTGTACACATAAGGATACTGGTGTAGTGAAACAGTCTGTACACACAGGGATCCTGGTGTAGTGAAACAGTCTGTACACATAAGGATACTGGTGTAGTGAAACAGTCTGTACACATAAGGATACTGGTGTAGTGAAACAGTCTGTACACATAGGGATACTGTAGCTGTCTCTTACTTCATAAGCAAACGAAGTTTAATGCTGCTTGTAATCGGATCATTTCCATTGCATTTTTACCACATCGCAGTCCTCAAGTCATTAGAAGTATAGTTGCTCTCTTCGCTTGATCTTGAGGAGCCATCATCATGTACGTTTTATCATAAAGTAGCTCACCACCCAGAGCAAAAACAGCAGCCTGTCTGTTGCGTATCCAGTACTCTGCAACATCCTAGGCAGAACATCCATGTTATGTTCCGAGTCTTATCGCTGAACTTGTTGGACAACTGTTTTAACTTCTGGTAATCCATTACAGTTACAACATGTCAGGCTGTGATAGCCTTCGGCCACGGGAAAGTTGCTGTGACCGCCTCCACCTCTATTAGCATGCTAGATTTTGTCATACGCCTGGTTAACTTTATCAAAAAGATGTCCATTCAGGTTTGCAATGAAATTCAACCCACTATGTCTACTGTTCGTCTCAAACCCATCTGTGTATTTAATGAGATGGCCCAGGCGTTAATTTTGACTGATTGGTTAAACCAACCTGCGGATAGTAAGGTAGCAAAAAATTTCCACACAGAACCGTTATCGGACGAAGACACATTTCTGTGTAAGTCTGATATAATGATATACAAAACACCTGTACAACGTAATCCTGGTGTGAACACTCGCAAGATGTTGAACCCCAGGCCTCTATTCCCAAGTCCTGGGCAACAATTCTCGCTATGTTGCAGGTGTTTTTATATGGAAACAAACACGAGAACAACTAAGCAAATAAACAACAAACTTGCCAGTAAAAGCTGGGTCATGTTGAGAGAGACTGACACCCAGACGTACAACTGTTCATGTCGGAGCTCTTTCACTGTGTATGTGGTTGTACTTAACCCCTCGTAATCTTGTCGGTCGACACCGGTTTTCAACAACAGCATCCTACGGGTACAGACATGGTTGGGTGGATTTGTGAACGGGTTTGTAGATAGATGGGTTGTGGATAGATGGGTTCTGAATAGATGGGTTTGTGAATCGATGGGTTTGTGAATCGATGGGTTTGTGAATCGATGGGCGGATGAGCTGGTGCATTGCTGGGTGAATGAATAGGTTGATGACAAGGTGAATGAATAAATGTGTGGATAGACGGGTGGATTGATGCACAGGTAGATAGTTGGGTTAATTTACAGGTGAGGGGATGAGTGAGTGGATGAATGGGTGAAATGATTTATGCCTGAATGAGTAGATAGATGGATGGGTGGATGGGTGGGTGAGTAGATGAATGGGTGAAATGATTTATGCCTGAATGAGTAGATAGAATAATGGGTGGATGGGTGGATGGGTGGATGGGTGGGTGGATGGATGGGTGGATGGATGGGTGGATGGGTGGGTGGATGGATGTGTGAGTAGATGAATGGGTGAAATGATTTATGCCTGAATGAGTAGATAGATGGATGGGTGGGTGGGTGGATGGGTGGATGGATGGATGGGTGGATGGGGGGGGGGGTGAGTAGATGATTAATGCATGATTAGGAAGAGGAGTGCATATGTGTATTTATATATATATATGTGTGTGTGTGTGTGTATGTGTGTGGGGGAGTGATGTGTGCGATTATGTGTGTGCGCGTATGCTTGTGTATGTGTGTGTAGAAATGTCTTACGTGGATTCAGCATACATAAAAGAGAATGGATAGGTAAAGGACTGCAATTGTTTGGAATTAATATTTGAGGACAGTCCTGACTGAAAGATAATAAAACATGCAAAAGATACCAAGGTTTGTCTTCGAACAGCAGCTTACCCTCCCATCCCTTCTCCTGCAGGGACACTCAACTGACCTGTCGATTTTTCCCGCTTACCCTCCCATCACTTCTCCTGCAGGGACACTTAACTGACCTGTCGATGTTTTCCCGCTTACCCTCCCATCCCTTCTCCTGCAGGGACACTCAACTGACCTGTCGATGTTTCACCCCCCACCTCCCATCCCTTCTCCTGCAGGGACACTCAACTGACCTGTCGATGTTTCACCCCCCACCTCCCATCCCATCTCCCCCAGAGACACTCAACTGACCTGTCGATGTTTCACCCCCCACCTCCCATCCCATCTCCCCCAGAGACACTCAACTGACCTGTCGATGTTTCCCCAGCTGTGGTCGTTCCGGTCATGGTAGAGCATCTGGTACTTGTAGATGTCCTGGTTTTCTCGAACTCGCTTGTAGCCCTTGGCGAGCACCCTGCGAGCAGAGCAGCCGCTGTTGTACTAGCCAATAATAGAGACCTGACGTCTCGATGTTATCTGTGGTGATGTTTCCCTGTTATGTCATTGTTATCTGTGGCGATGTTTCCCTGGTATGTGATCTTATATGTGGTGATGTTTCCTTGGTATGTGATGTTATCTTTGTCATTACCAGAAATCAAAACACTTAGCGGAAAAAATAAGGAATTAGGCAAAGAACAAACTAGTCGTAACCACCCACAAGAACCCATCAGCAGACTCAACAGAAAGCAACATACAGCAATTTTTCATCTTCAGGCTCAACTACCACATGCCGACTGTAGTCCCCACAGTGTGCATGTCAGACACGGCCACAAAAACATAAGCCCAATCAACCTAACACTTCGAAAGGACACATGGCCTCAAAAGCAAAGTATGCAGAACAAGCTATGGGTAACCATGACGTACCTGCTGCTGACATACGAGTTCACAGAGACAACCCACTCGATGGTCTAATCTGAGCAAACGAAACGGAACGCGAAGAAAAAGAAACAGAAGAGGTATTATGAAATCTAGTGAAATATCATCAGACTACAGTGTCTGAATACAGCAAAGTCGTTGTTGTGCCGATCTCACCTGCTGAAACACACGGATACTTAGCCTGTGGGTGCGCCATTTGACAAGAAGGTAAACTGGTTTCCTCTTTCCGTCAGGTGAAATACATTCACAGAAGCCACATTCTTAAACATACACATACACACACCCGAAATCACACACACACACACACGCAATCACACACACACACACACACACACACACATACACACACACATATAGTACAGCTTTAATGACAGTTTTAAAGACATTGGTATTTCAGTTTGTGCACGGAAGGTATACAGAAAAGAATGTCGTATTCTATGGATGAGCAAAGAAAAACACAAAGAAAACACATAGACAGGCAAATAACAAAAACAGTTGGGGAATTACCGAAGTAGAAGATCGTCATCTTCGCCACCCCAGCCGAAATAGAGATTAGAGTTTCCGTTGACGTCAGTGTACTGTCTTGTGGTCAGCGCCACCACACCTCCGAAGTAGTCGTCGTACATCTTTCTGGGAGACAGTCCACAAACAAGGTTGCTACTAGATAGACAGGGTCAGCTGCAGAATTATGAACACATCTAGCAATAGACAGAGTTTGTCAACGCGCGCACACAATTCAGCAATACACCGCATGAACAATATGTCATAGAAACGGATTATTTATGGTAAACTAATACACATTAGATACTCTATAATTAATTCCTGAATAAATCCCTGTGTGTATTGATGTTTCACATATCAGTATCCCTGTGTGTATTGATGTTTCACATATCAGTATCCCTGTGTGTATTGATGTTTCACATATCAGTATCCCTGTGTGTATTGATGTTTCACATATCAGTATCCCTGTGTGTATTGATGTTTCACATATCAGTATCCCTGTGTGTATTGATGTTTCACATATCAGTATCCCTGTGTGTATTGATGTTTCACATATCAGTATCCCTGTGTGTATTGATGTTTCACATATCAGTATCCCTGTGTGTATTGATGTTTCACATATCAGTATCCCTGTGTGTATTGATGTTTCACTATATCAGTATCCCTGTGTGTATTGATGTTTCACTATATCAGTATCCCTGTGTGTATTGATGTTTCACTATATCAGTATCCCTGTGTGTATTGATGTTTCGCTATATCAGTATCCCTGTGTGCATGGATGTTTCCGCAGATCCATGCCAAAAGTGGATATAATCTGTGAGATGAGATGCCTGAGAAAAGACGCCAACTTGACCATGGGAGATGGAGTGAACAACGACACGATGAGACAATTGTGGGAAACAATACCTTGTAGAGCAGATGAACAGCCAGCCGATCAAGTGGTCTGGCCATCTTGTTAGAATGCAACAACATCATATACCATCACGAGCTCTAGATGTGAGAAGATTAGCTACAAGAGCAAGAGGACGGCCACGACCCCAGAAAGACACTCTACGCCTTCACGGCAGGACAAGAGCCAGTAACAGCCTGCGTGCACGAGACTGCAAATTATTCTCGCCGCGCCACCTAGCGACAGATGTGGTGTAGGACGATGATGATGATGACTAAGTGAAGTTTATGACACGTTTTATATTCAAACAGAAATACTGCTACACTAAAACCCCAACCATACACAATGAAACCCGACTACCAAACCTGAGTCACATGCCGGTAAGCCACTCATAAAGATGCGAACAATTAAACAGATCGGGGCCGCTGGCTGCGTTACTTTGACGTGCCCCGTATCACGCCGGTAAATGTCTGACGATAGACAGCAGACAACAGGTCATTTCAGTACACGAGCACAGATCCAAACGAGGTGTTCGTCACTCTGTTACTTGCTACATGATATGCTTCCAGTCGCAGTGCCTGTTGTAGGAGACCTGACAACAGAAATATAACTGTGTGATCACTGGGGTCGACTAATGACGAATGTCAAAAAAAAAAAAAAAAACTAAATATAGCAGTAGAGTGTCCAGGTATTAACGGAGGTTCTGAGTAAAAATGTCTTTGTACAAGGTTTCCTGACGATGGGAAACTGGATGAAGAAATTAACATCTGCTACCGTCCAGCAACTCCAGTATTGCGACAGCTAGCCATCTCCTCCTCCCTGTTTTCAAACAACATCAGACAATCTTGGTCTCCAAGCATGTGCATGCCACCTGTACCAGTCGTGGTCACTCTCAACAAACGGTAACAGTAAATGTGTGTCCATAGATATGAGATGTCAGTGAGGGCTGTAGGAGTTACCAGAGAAGATACAATCAGGAACGAGGTCTTACGAAAAAACGTTGCCACAGAACCAATTCTAAATTATATACAAAAACAGCAGATCGAATGGTAGAGCACAAGGTAGACCATGAACAACATGGAAAGATAACATCAGAGAAACTCTAACATAGAATGATGAGTCTGTCTATGGTAGGGGCTGTGAGAAAAGCCAGAAGCGGAACTTTATATCTCCCTCGACACTCTAAGCTGTACAAGAAGATGTTGAGAGGTAGAAAAACAAACAACATGTCATCAAGACAAGGTCTGTGTTCTTCTACAACCCATGCCGTGGGGGTAAAGTAATCTAGATACTTATCTTTAGTATCCAGCCTCGGAAGTCTGCTGGTTCGTTGAGTGCTATTGATATTATACAGAAACAGACTGCTTTTGCAGCCATACTGAAATGTGAGGTTGTACCGGTGTTGCTGCAGTATGACTATGCATTTTGAAATGTGAGGTTGTACCGGTGTTGCTGCAGTATGACTGTGCATTTTGAAATGTGAATGAAACATGAAGAAGACCATGCAGACCGTGGACAGACAGACAGACAGACACACAGACAGATAGATAGATAGATAGATAGATAGATAGATAGATAGATAGATAGATAGATAGATAGATAGATAGATAGATAGATAGATAGATAGATAGATAGATAGATAGATAGATAGATAGATAGATAGATAGATAGATAGATAGATAGATAGATAGATAGATAGATAGATAGATAGATAGATAGATAGATAGATAGATAGATAGATAGATAGATAGATAGATAGATAGATAGATAGATAGATAGATAGATAGATAGATAGATAGATAGATAGATAGATAGATAGATAGATAGATAGATAGATAGAGAGAGACAGTGTAGACACAAATTGCTAATGAAAATGGAAAGTGCTCAAAACCAAATGACAGAAGCAGTCAGTCTCCTTTTAACATGATGACACAAGAAGAGAGGGTCTGGAGAACACTGTGCTGACTGGAAAAATCAAGTGAAGAAGAGGCAGAGACAGACCAAGAGAGACGATGGTTGATGGGCTGAGGCGATGGCGTGGTGGAATGCCCTCAGTGGAACTGATTCAAAATACCGAACACCGAGATCTGTTAGACTCATGAGCGCCTACTTCGCTAGACATGGCGCATGATGACGATGATGAACCCTAGTTACCAGAAGGCAGCTGTGTGATCTTACTTGGCGTCGCGCTGTCCGTGTCGTTTGATGGAGACGGGGAAATGCCGGGGGTTGTCGCCACACCTGTAGAGGATTCGGTCATCCAGAGGGACCAGGTCCACGTCGTGGAAGATGTAGCAGTCGAAGTGGGCGACTTTCCGCGACTCCAGGAAGCCGATATTGTGTAGAGTTGCCCTGTTGAACATCGATGGCGCCAACTGTTCAGATCCCAAACACAGAAGCCGTTAATTCACCACCGGTTCATGAACTACAGTCATTTCTTGTCGAAACGGTACAGTCGTGTCTTGTCGAAACGGTACAGTCGTGTCTTGTCGAAACGGTACAGTCGTGTCTTGTCGAAACGGTACAGTCGTGTCTTGTCAAAACGGTACAGTCGTGTCTTGTCTAAACGGTACAGACGTGTCTTGTCGAAACGGTACAGTAGTGTCTTGTCGAAACGGTACAGTCGTGTCTTGTCGAAACGGTACAGTCGTGTCTTGTCAAAACGGTACAGTCGTGTCTTGTCTAAACGGTAAAGTCGTGTCTTGTCTAAACGGTACAGACGTGTCTGAGAACCACCGTGATAGCGCGGCTAGACGTTTGCCTGTGAGCCCAAAGGTCGTGGGTTCAAATGCAAATCGAGTCAGGTTTTCTTCTTGTCCAGAAATGACCTTGGCTCACAGCGGGACACAGCTTTAACTCTTTGTCCCGAGGAACGCATCAGACGTTCATAGTTTTGTACCTAGAAACCCAACAAACGCATGATGCGCCGATGTTATGTCTCTCTTTACTCATCACCATTATCATCATCACCATCATCATCACCATCATCATCACCATCATCATCACCATCATCATCATCTTTATAATCATAATCATCACCATCATCATCACCATCATCATCACCATCATCATCACCAATGCCATCACCAATGTCATCACCATCATCATCACCATCATCATCACCATCATCATCACCATCATCATCATCACCATCATCATCACCATCATCATCACCATCATCATCAAAATCATCATCATCAATGCCATCACCATCATCAGCACCATCATCATCACTATCATCATCACCAATGTCATCACCATCATCATCACTATCATCAGCACCAATGTCATCACCATCATCATCACCATCATCATCACCATCATCATCACCATCATCATCATCATCACCATCACTATATTCATCATCATCATCATCATCATCATCATCGTCATCATCATCACTATCATCATCACAATCCTCATCATCATCACCATCATCATCATCACTATCATCATCACTATAATCACCATCACTATAATCACCATCATCATCATCACAATCATCATCACCATCATCATCTCCATCATCATCACCATCATCATCACCATCATCATCACCATCATCATCACCATCATCATCAAAATCATAATCATCACCATCATCATCACAAAAATCATCACCATCATCATCACCAATGCCATCACCATTATCATCACCATCATCATCACCATCATCATCACCATCATCATCATCATTATCATCGCCATCATCATCACCATCATCATCACCATCATCATCAAAATCATAATCATCACCATCATCATCACAAACATCATCACCATCATCATCACCAATGCCATCACCATTATCATCACCATCATCATCACCATCATCATCATCATTATCATCGCCATCATCATCACCATCATCATCACCATCATCATCACCAATGCCATCACCATCATCAGCACCATCGTTACCACCATCATCAGCACCAATGTCATCACCATCATCATCACCACCATCATCATCACCATCATCATCACCAATGCCATCACCATCATCAGCACCAATGTCATCACCATCATCATCACCATCATCATTACCATCATCATCATCACCATCATCATCATTACCATCATCATCACCATAATCATCACCATCATTATCACCAATACCATCACCATCATCATCACCGTCATCATCACTATCATCATCACCATAATCATTATCATCGTCATCATCACCATCATCATCATCATAATCATCATCATCGTCAACATCAACATTATCATCATCCCCATCATCATCACCATAATCATCATCGTCGTCATCATCACCATCATCATCATCACCGTCATCCCCATCATCATCACCATAATCATCACCGTCATCATCATCACCATCATCATCATCACCATCATCATCATCACCATCATTCCCATCATCACCATCATTATCATCATCACCATCATCATCACCAGTGCCATCACCATCATCATCACCATCATGATCATCACCGTCATGATCATCACCAATGCCATCACCATCATCATCACCATCATCATCATCACCATCACCATCATCACCACTACCATTTTCATACTCATCATAATCATCATTATCACCATTATCATAATAATCACCACCATCTTTATCAACGTCATCATCATCTTTACCATCATCATCATGTTTTGTTCTGTTTATACAATAAATAAATCTGACAGTCACCATAATCATCATTATCGTCATCATCACCATCATCATCATCATAATCATCATCATCGTCATCATCACCATCATCATCATCACCATCATCATCACCATCATCTTCACCATCATCATCACCATCATCATCAAAATCATAATCATCACCATCATCATCACAAACATCATCACCATCATCATCACCAATGCCATCACCATTATCATCACCATCATCATCACCATCACCATCATCATAATCATTATCATCGCCATCATCATCACCATCATCATCACCATCATCATCACCATCATCATCACCATCATCATCACCATCATCATCACCATCATCATCAAAATCATAATCATCACCATCATCATCACAAACATCATCATCACCAATGCCATCACCATCATCATCACCATCATCATCACCATCATCATTATCATTATTATCGCCATCATCATCACCATCATCATCACCATCATCATCACCAATGCCATCACCATCATCAGCACCATCGTTACCACCATCATCAGCACCAATGTCATCACCATCATCATCACCACCATCATCATCACCATCATCATCACCAATGCCATCACCATCATCAGCACCAATGTCATCACCATCATCATCACCATCATCATTACCATCATCATCACCATCATCATCACCATAATCATCACCATCATTTTCACCAATACCATCACCATCATCATCACCATCATCATCACTATCATCATCACCATAATCATTATCATCGTCATCATCACCATCATCATCATCATAATCATCATCATCGTCAACATCAACATCATCATCATCCCCATCATCATCACCATAATCATCATCATCGTCATCATCACCATCATCATCATCACCGTCATCCCCATCATCATCACCATAATCATCACCATAATCATCACCGTCATCATCATCACCATCATCATCATCACCATCATCATCATCACCATCATCATCATCACCATCATCCCCATTATCACCATTATTATCATCATCACCATCATCAACACCAGTGCCATCACCATCATCATCACCATCATGATCATCACCGTCATGATCATCACCAATGCCATCACCATCATCATCACCATCATCATCATCACCATCACCCTCATCACCACTACCATTTTCATACTCATCATAATCATCATTATCACCATTATCATAATAATCACCACCATCTTTATCAACGTCATCATCATCTTTACCATCATCATCATGTTTTGTTCTGTTTATACAATAAATAAATCTGGCAGTCGATTCCTCCAGTCTACTACATCCTATTCAATCCTGTAAATCCTATATATCCTGTACAATCCTAAACAATCCTGATAGTGAATGAGAAATCGTCACGTCCTCCCGGCCTCCCGCATTACTGTTGATCCTACAATGTCCCCTTAACATCCAGTCCCCGTCAGTCCATTCATTTGCCATTTCAGTGCCTGATTAGTGATTCTTTGTCCGCGTTGTTATCTTAGATACGTTCACTATAGTCCACGACAGCCTCTTCAGTATTACCTTGAACTAATTACAGAAACTAAAACAATTCCGGTGAGAACATTGTCAGACATTCAGATAACACCAGTACTCCGATCCTGACTGGTAACAGAGTTCTCGATTCAGTATGGCCTAAGTGGGTTCTCCCATTTGGTGTTCAGCTTCTGGAGCTATTTTAAGGGGACATATGACCCCAAATGTTTCCTGACAATTATGTCGCAACTGGGGACTTAGTTAGATGTTTGCTAAAATCAGATGTGCTGGGCCTAAAATCGCCTATATCGCAGACTAGCTGTAGACCACACAACAAAGTGCAAATCGCCGCAGGTGAAGTCGGCAGAAGAAGAAGAAGAAGAAGAAGAATATGGAATAAAGGAAGGAAAGAAGGAAGGAAGGAAGGAAGGAAGAGAAGAAAGAAGAAAGGAAAGAAGGAAATGAAGATTTCGAACAAGAAGACGATGTGTTGTCATAGAACCCATCTTCACCATCATTACATAGCTGTTACTGTGCAGAACGTCGCTCCCACGCCGTGTATGTCCCTTTAATAAAATTCGTTACGGTTGTTTTACAGGTGTAGTTTTTCTAGTGGTCGTGTGAGACGATGTAGCAAGACGGTCTACTTTTATCGGCACGGCACAGATGATGATGGTGATGAGTTTGATGTGTGAAGAGGATTGTCATAGGTGTAGTCCTACCCTTATCGGCACGACACAGATGATGATGGTGTAGACCTACCTGTTCAATGACAAAACATGTGGCATCAACATTCTGTGCTTGGAGGATCGGCAGCAGGTTCCTCATGAGTATGTGCAGGTGAGACAGCCTGTTACTGGGAGCAGAATACAAGTCATTGGTAGATGGTGAGTGCTTTCACGGAATACAAGTCATTGGTAGATGGTGAGTGCTTTCACAGAATACAAGTCATTGGTAGATGGTGAGTGCTTTCACAGAATACAAGTCATTGGTAGATGGTGAGTGCTTTCACAGAATACAAGTCATTGGTAGATGGTGAGTGCTTTCACGGAATACAAGTCATTGGTAGATGGTGAGTGCTTTCACAGAATACAAGTCATTGGTAGATGGTGAGTGCTTTCACGGAATACAAGTCATTGGTAAATGGTGAGTGCTTTCACAGAATACAAGTCATTGGTAAATGGTGAGTGCTTTCACAGAATACAAGTCATTGGTAGATGGTAAGTACTTTC